AACACACCTTTGAGCCGGAGGCTTCGTAAGCCCATCCGCAAGCTCACATCTCGTGGGAACCCACATCAGCTTCGCCTTACCGGGATGCTCTGACTGGTTCCTCGTAGTCAAAAGTTGCCGGAGGAGTATTGCATGAACGATATTCCCCTTCTCTCCAACGTGTTGGCCGTCTTTGTGTATCGTGTCATAAATACTCTTGCAATCAGTGACCAGAGTAAGTGGAACCAGCTGTTGCCAACCATCGTCCTCAACTGAGGACATAATTTTCGCCCCGAACTTTATCTCACACATCAACACCTGAGCGAATCTCGACATATTATGTCCCATGATGGCGGCATGAGTTTCCGCGGCGAACGAGGACTCCACGATGCGACGATTCGTGGCGCTCCTCCAATCAATGACGTTGATATGGACGCGACCTTGTTTCTCGACATCCCCCTTTTTGACAAAGGCAACCACAGCCCCCTTCTGAGAGTACACAAGCTTCTTGTCAAGACTACTCTGGAGTATGTCGTCGCATTGCTGCTCGTCAAGCTCAGCCCCGACACTGCTATACAAACCGGCATCATGATACGTGACGAGCTCAGCATCGTAGCCAAGGGGCTTGAACAATATTTCGGTACGATTTCTCACCACTTCTCGCACCGCCTTGTTAGCCCTCACAAGATCCATGATGCGAAGATCCGACACTCGCTTCTGCAACTGGTTGCATTCAAAAGCAATGTCAGGACGCGACTGGACAGCCAGCCACTGAAGACTTCCCACTATCGAACGATAATCCGTAGTCTCAGCCTGATTGGCCCTAGCGTCCAGCTGCTTCATTCTGGCTGGCTCTATCTTCATCGGCTGAAGACGTGCATCAATGAATGCATTCTGAGCAAGCGTCACACATGTTTCATTTTCCTTGACAACAACCTTCACCTCTTTACCACAATAGGTAACTCCAGAAGCTTGCTCATGCACACGCATCCAGGTTCCAAAAGGAAATCGTTGGTCATGTCTTGTTCAACTTGTTTCCCTAGCTCACCACCGTCATGACAGTACATGACATCATCAACATGAACAATCATGAGACCTCGCAGTTTCCCCTGCTTGTCGCGAAGCGTAAACATTGCCGGATCAGTGCGACACTTGCTGAAGCCCAGTTCTTGCTCTAAGATTCTAGCCAGCTCATTGTACCACGCACGGGGGGGTCAGGTCTACCGTAGACAGGTTTTAAAAGCTTCAGCAATTGCCCCGGCTTCAATCCCCGCAGTTCCTGCTTGGGCTGTCGCATGAACATATCTGGCTTATCCGTCAACGGAGCGCCTTGTAGAAAGGCGTTGGAGATATCTCCAATAAACCAATCCTTAGTCCACCCCAAGCTGGTCACGAGGTGTAGGAACACCATGGTGGATACTCGCTCCACTGTTGGCGAGTCCACCTGCACTTGACCCGTCCGGCTGTCAGGGCACAAATGGCCTTGCAAGCAAAGTCTGGCTTTAACGGGAAGTTCCTTACCGTCCGCGTCAAGCAAACCTGCGTTCTTGTTCCGAAAGACATATCGGCTGGGCAGGATACGATCAGGCCGTTGCTGTTCAATGGCTTGGCTTTCTTCCGGACTCAAGATTTCACAAATATTGTAATCCAACCATGATTGCCATTCCTTTTGTTCGGCCTCCTCGTACAGCTGCTTGTCTTGGGGAGGGATGCTATGATAAGGAATCTCCTTCTCCAACATTCGCTTGCGTTTAGTCTTGCTCTCGGTTGGCTGTTGAGTGGCATGAACTCGAGCGGCTTCCTCAATGGTCCTACGTCGCTTGATGTTGGCCGGAACATCATCCAGACATTGATCTTTACGAGTCCTATTCTGGAAGATCGTGATGAGGCCTGCGACTGGTCCATGTGGAATGAACTGATGCTGATCCTCCAAATCAACCCATCTAACTTCTTTCTCAGCACATTCCCATTTCCCGTGAACATAGACCCATGAAGTACGGTATGGAAAATGGTCACTTGGATACCGAGGCTCTGGCGTCCGAAGGCCCATGCACGATGGGACACCAGAACCGGATTTCCCGAACCGTCCACATGCCAACCAATCTGTTGACACATGTCTGCATGCTCTCTGCTCAACCCTTCGGTGTCCAAGTCACTTTCGTCCATCATGAGTTCATCGGCCACGTCACGATTCAGAGGCTGGGTTTCCACATCTAGAGGCTCACCTCCAGCGTCTTCCTGTCCAACAAGATTCTCGTATGTCGCCTCCCTAGGAACCTTCTTAAACAGAGCTATGGCTTTCTGAATCTCAGGGTTGCCGAAATGCTTTTCGTCGCCAACGGCTTCTCTCAGATGTTCTCCCGCCACTAGAAAACACCGCCCACCTATGGCAACCCAAGCATTCCGATCCTGCAACCCAACCACGTAACCTGGCCCGAGCCACCTACTTTGGCTGTCACCATTCTTCTCCTTTCCAGCCCTCCAGAAAAACACTAGCTGACCTATTTTCGGGATAGGAAGCTTCCGGGTCCGGTTATGCGCGGTCCTGAGCAACATCTGTCGAGCCTGGCTGCGAACAAACTCCATCTTGGCATGATACCGGAACCTCATGCGAACGGCCACATCGCTATCGGCATCTCCTACTGACGGATGATAGGCAGTCGGATTTCCTGCATGGTACATCTCTCCGAACACTCGAGGTTCCCTGCCGAAAACGAGGGCCACTGGGGCCCAACCATGCTCTCTGACCAAGGAATTCTTGGCCCAAGCCACCTCCCTCGAGAGCTTGCGCATTTCATCTCTCCCGGCAGGACTTGCCTGACGAATAGTGGCAAAGAGCATATCTTTAATCGTCTGGTTATGTCTCTCGATCTTTCTCGCCTGAAAATGCGCAGTTCCAGCAATGGAAGCGAGGCTACTCCCTGACTGCGTGACCTTAGTCCAGAACTCGCGTCCCACGAATCCTCCCTCAAGATCGGTAGCAACACGCATCGGAGGACCAGCCCACTTGCACCACCCTCGGTCAAACGCTCGGTGAAGTTCCTCAGGACTGTGATCTCGGAGAAGTTCCAGTGCATCCAGTGCATGGTATGAAGTAGCACGATCGAGTATGCTAAGAAACCAGTGATTCTCTTTCTGTGCATCTCGGATACATATACAATCGAGCTGAACTTCATCACCGAACGCAAGCTGACATGGCGGAATATTCGTGGTACGATGCCTGCTGGGACGTCGAGCATGAGCGCATGTGATGCATCTTAACCAGGACACAGCCTCCACAACTTCTTGTCTGGCACCACCTAGCTTGAGAAATCTAGCAAGGTCCTCCTTACTCGGATGTCCCAAATTCGCATGTGTCTTGGTCGGTCCCTGGCGAATCGCCTCACTGAGGCGCCTTCCTTCCCGAGCCGCGCCAGCCAGCGCGGCTGTGGCGATAAACACTCCAGCTACAAGTGCCCGAGCATTCCCAAGCAGCCTCTTTGCCACTCCCTTCTTCAATGAGCCCTACGAGCATTACCCTCACGGATCCTAGCTCGAACCTCGGTCTCACTCAAAGGCTGCTTGGCTTGGTCGCTCACACTGTGGGAAACTGGTTCCGAAAGATCACAGACCATCACGGGGTCGGCTCGTCGTCGACCTTGACAGGGAGGTTGCCCTCCTTGCCCACTTTCTTGGCCTGGGCCTGCTTCTGCATGCGCATGTGCTGAATCATGACGGATTCCTCGACGGTCAAGTTGGCATTCACCTTCCTCTGGGGCCCCGTCTCGTCTTGAGAAGAGATTGATTCCTCTTCTATTTCCACGGGTCCGGTCCGAACCCAGGAACTATATATCCGAGGACATTGCCGGGCCGCCTTGCCTGTCCATGGACTTCTTCTGCTTCGGTTGGGCTCGGGGAAGGAAGGCTTTCTCCTTGACCATGGCCTCGGCTTTCTTGTTCATCTCCAGCTCGTCCTGTACTATTTTCACCGGCTTCCCGTCGTAGTTGTACGGGAGTGTGCTCTTGCAAGCTGGGAACCTTCTGAGCCGATTGACTCGTTGAAGCATTGGGATGTGACACATTTCCAGATCGCGGTCCATCTGTGCGGCCTCCGCTGCACCCACCGCCCACATCTCGATCTCCATGATGAGCTGGCTGCGGGACCACCTCGCCCAGTGATGGTCCTGATCGCGACCCAAATCTTCCACCACTTGATTCGAGTACAACTCCCGCAGCCCTTGGACATCCATCTTCTTCCAATTCGGCGGAAGGATGGCGCTCTTGCGTGGGGGACGCACCGCCATCCACAGCTCTTTGAGCCGGTCCAACGTGTGAGCTCGGAGATCTGCTGCACTCACTCGGCACCGGCTTGCACTCGCCACCACAAACTCCTCCTTCTTCTTTGGCGTCAACATCGATGCCGACATGTTCGAGAAAGGAGGCCGGGGATGTCACCCCCAGAAGTTCCGGCTTCGGATGATCTGAAACTTTGCGCTGCGGAGTATCATTGGGCTCATCATCATCATCATCATCACTTGCATTCACATCATCGCTCTGCTGCGGCTCTTGGTGATGTGACGACATGCATGCAACATGCCGCTGGTCTCCCAGGGTCCTGGAAGCCGCGGTTTCCAAAATGGAAATCGAAGCTTCTTCAGAGCTTTCCGAGTACCATCATCCACCTGGAAAGCCGATCTCACTGTGTACACCGAAAGACACCACCGCTCCCCTTGCCAATCATGTGTTGCATGAGGAATATGAGGATCAAACGATTGTGGCTTCTGGGAGGTGTCAATGAGTTCCCCCTTCAGCCAGCTCCCCTCCTTGTTCTGTTTCCACACACACACATGTCTGAAGTCACACTCTCGTTGGCCATCCAGAGCTGGCCTCCAGTAAAGGAGCCGAAAGTCATCGAAATCGTCCGGGTGTCCTTGCGATTGTGGCAATCGACATGCACTTCGGTGGATACATTCTTGAGCAGTGCCAATGAAGTCCAACGCCCATCCACCCGTTGTTGCATGAACATGTTCAGGTATCGGGCAACATTGGGGTAGCGAACGGTTCTCCTAGTCACTCCAGTCCACCCACCGTGAGAGAAGAGTCCCGCGACCCATGCTTCATTCCCCCGTCCTGCACCGTCATTGATGCATCGGTGGCGCTTGGATCTGCGGATCGGCAACACCCTGACGAGTTGAAGTAGAGCTTCGAAGCTGTAGTTCTTTTCATGGTGCAGTATGCGTGCTCGCTCTTCACAAGATTGGACATTATCACCTGAAGATGAGGTTCCTTGGCATTCTCCTCCATCATACACACCTGTTCACGTGGAGCTTCATCCCAAATGTGAGATATCTCTCTCTCCATCTTGGAACTCATCGGGTGGGCATTCCAGCCTGGTTCTCGAGGGCTTTGTGTTGATCTGGAACCCACAAAGGCCCGCTCTGGTCTCCCTGAGCGGAACTTGGGTTTGCATCTCCCTGAAATCAATCACACCCTTGTCCAAGTCCATGACCATCCCCAGCTGCTTCAGCACCGCTTTGCTCAAGAGAAGGGGTATCTCCTGGTCAACAACACTTATCCGCAAAGTAGCCGATCTTTTCGCACCGTCGAGCTGAACTGGTATGAGAGCAGCGTATTCTGACAAGATCCGGGGGCCACCTCCAAACCGGAAAGGACGAGCCTCGTTGACAATGAAGATGTCCTCGCCCCGCCCTCGTAGAAGGCGGATGTGCCGCTCGATCCATCGCTTCCCGGCTACTGTCCTAGCAGCCCTAGCACAACATGTGTCGCTCAAAGCGAGTGTATCCTTGTCGGGCTCAGTCATGGAATGTGCTACTGCGCTCGCCCACACTTCTTGACTCGGTGCCTGCTCCTCGTCCTGGATGTCTGGGCCCTCGGATGTAGCCAAGTAGACACTTGCGGGGAGCACCAACTCATCATCCTCGCTGTCACTCAATTCTTCGCTGACGACTGCGAGCACTTTGCTGCGCTCCTGACCGCCCTTCTTACTGTTGTAAGGGCACTCTGCATCACTGTGCCACTGGCCAAACACAGTTTTACCGTGCGCTTTACAAGCGCTGCACGGCATTCTCGACTTCATTTCTCTTATCCGAGATTCCCTGGCCTGGCTGCTTTCGCCCTTGGCGAATCCTCTGGCTTTCTCGACCTCTGCACGCTTGCGAGCTGCTTGAGTCAACAAAACCTCCAGTTCACTCTCCAGCTCTTCTGGATCAGCCTCCTCGGCGTGATCTTCGTCTTGGGGTCCAGTATCGTCGTCCTCCTCGGTGGTAGCGTGCACTTGCTTGGGGCCCCCATTCTTAGTCTTCCACTGTCTGAACGAAGGCCTGGGTGTCGTGGTTGTCCCCTCCTCGCGCTTCACCTTCGGGACGGTCGCCACCAGTGCCCTGCGAAGCTTTATGTAATCATAATCACCGCCGGCTGCTGAAACCACTTGTTTGCGAAGATCTGCTGAAAGTCCTGCCTTCTCCAAGAACCAGTAGGCCTTCGTCAGCCCTTCGAGCTCCGCTACCAATGCGAATCACTCAATCAAAAGCATGGCCTCATGGCTGCTCGCACAGCCGCTGCGCATCTTTTACACGTCACCAAGAGCCGCTTGAGCCACGCAATCGGTGGTTCACATGCTACTTAAAACACAGCTCAACTCGGACCGCACACCACGACAGGTCAGGCACAACTTCGCACATTCACACTGGGCTGTCCTTTATAGATGTACGATCCGCTACGAGTCTCCAAAGGAGTACTCGAGCCCGCACTGCGGGAGGCACGTAGACCTGCTACGCTCATTGTCGGTAAAGATCAATGGTATGGAAAACTGGGGGGGGATGCCCTGGGTCGATATTAAGCCCGCCCAAACCCGAGGATCCTATGGTACTAAGACCCGCTCGGCTGGTCCCGCCGGGGGTACCAGCTCCGCTACCAGTTTGAAATTGGCGGTCTTTTCCCAGCGAACTGCGAAGCTACACTGTAGACTGAAGGGCCCTGCGGCGGCGGGATATTTACAAGGTAAGCTCAGGACCAAGGCTTCAACCCTTAGCGGAACGGACAGTGATTCACACGGTGCATCGAAACACGCCGGCCTTGTTGCCGTACGAAGATGGCACATGAAAGGGGCTCGAGTTTAAACCCAAGTCTTGTTGTGTTTGAAGAGAGTTCTGGGTTTCATCTCGGGAAGCTGAATGATGTGGGGAGCTGGCTGGAAGCCCTCTTGTATCGAGGCTAGTGCTACCGGCATAATGTCAACCTTGTCTGCCTCGATCCATATTCGAACGACCCGATAAAGCACGACGCTGCAGAAAAAACTGTTTAGTCGTGTGGTGGGATGGGATTGTGCGAGCATCATGTCCCGGCTTGTTGCCCCTGACGAGTCGCAGAACGAGCGCCGATTTTACCAACCTCTCAACCCAGACACACACTCAGAGACACCACACCACACCAAAACACACCACCGCACGACACCACACCACTCCACACCACACCACACCACACCACACCACACGACACGACACGACACGACACACGACACGACACGACACACGACACGACACACGACACGACACACGACACGACACACGACACCGACACCGACACCGACACCGACACCGACACCGACACCGACACCGACACCGACACCGACACCACACGACACGACACGACACGA